GGCCTCAGCACATCGTGTATCTTCTGGGCATGGTCAGTGTGGACTCTGAGTCCCCTTCTTTCACCCAGGCGTGCCAAACCGGTCACCACAGGGTTCGTTTGCATGACATGAGCTAACTCACTATGGGACATCTTAGCGGACCACACAATGACAAACTCGGGTAAAACATCCTTGCCGTCAGGTGTTCTGGCCTCAGTGTAGGCACCTGAAGCCCCGCTTTGCGAAAGCAAGGTGAGCATGATGGTTCGGGGCACCCTTACACACACTGAAAAGATGTCAGCTTTTGATGCCGACACCGGCTTGAAGCCATTCTGGAGGAACTGTCTACGCCAGACATCTAGCATTGGGTCCTTGAGAGGCAAATTCTCCTGGTTATGCCAGGCACCACATTCGCAGGCATCACGTTCACATCTCGTCAAAACAGGAAAGATCTTGGCAAGGTGCTTAATGGGTGTGCTCACAAACTCATCCCAATTGCCCGGGTACTCATCTTTGTAAACCATGACCTTGATGGTAACCACATCCAACTGATCCATCGGGATTGCCTCAGAGACCACCTGTTTGGCAACAAAACCTGATCCCAGTTGGACAACCACAGCTTCCGTCAAAAGAGGTTCATTATTGGCAATGCAGACACACGGGACAAGCATCTTACTGTGAGGCAGACTTGTTTCAACCAAGACCCCAGGCGGAGGAAAAACAGCAATGGCCAAGGGTTCACTTGACACTGCCTTTCCCGCTTTCAGATAGGGAACTGCATCTTCCATCGACACCAATGCAATCCCCCTGGTGATGGGCCCAATCTGCTTCAGGGAGATCTGAGCGACACTGTGGCCTTCAGCTTGGAAAGTGTCCGCAGGCAACATCAGCTTGCTTGGGTCAACAGCCTCAGAAACAGGCAACTTCGACTTGATCACCCCTTTCTTCATCCTCTTTCCAACTGGAACACCCTTGACATTGGAAACCACAGCAGCCAATTCTTCAGGAAGGAGAAATTGGAAGCGTACATTATTTTCTGCTTGCTTGAGGGAGCGCCAAACATTTTTTGACCCCATGGCTTGGGCAACCATTTCACTACCAATCACTTTAATGGCTTGTTGCGCACGTTGATCACTCAGGTTCTCAGGAACCCCATGTTTCACCAATTCAGCAGACAGTGACTTCACCAATGAGCCATTTCCACCGGATCCCCAAGAGACAGGGCAAATACAGCATGTACCATCAAACAGGGCTTGAACGAAACTGGCCTTCATGTTCGAGTGCATATAGCCCAACGCTTCAAGATCAACCGGCAATTCGGCTCCAACAATGATGTGGCCCAGAAACGCAATAGCCGCAGCACCACACATGGAATGATCAGACAGAAGTCTGGGATACACATGCAAAACGACATCCAGGAAGTCAAATTGCGCCTTGAAAACATCAAGGATGGGTTGAAGCACCTGTGGCTCAATGACCCCATCATCAATCGTGTGAACCACAAGGGTCCTGCCATGAGGGACACCCCAAACCGGAAACCAATGTTCATTGTACAGAAGGACCGTGACAATGTGAAACCCTTGGTCAGGAACCACTTGATTTCTGCGGCACCACAACTCACAAAGCCCTTTGCCAATAGTGTCTCACGCACAAAGCATAAGAGGGTCCATCATCACAAACCCCGGAATGGCTGACATGGGCGCCGTACTCACATTGGATTGATGGTTAATCAAATGCAGCAAGTGGAAACGGATTTCGTCATCACCCCATTGTTTGCCTTTGCTACGCAACAGGTCCATCCTAGCCTCCTTTTCCATGCACACATGTGAGAAGCTAACATTCGCAGCAGGCTGAGTTGGCAAGCACTGTCCCGCAGCGGATGACGTACCAGGTTCATTGTCAAACCACGAATCTTCAGCGTCACCTGAGCCCCAGATCCAAGGCCGTCGAGCAAGCTGACACCCTTCAAGAACTCTCTGGTACTCACATCTGAAACCATCATGGATTGCCTCAGCTTCTTCCCTTGTCGTGGGGAGCATTGAATGCAGGACTGAGTGATGCAAGAAGGCCATGGCAAGGGCACCACATTTGTCGGATGAGAAAAAGAGTCTCTGGTGACGAAGGCCATCAACACCCCCAAAGCCCAAGGCACTTCCAATTGCCTCAACAGTTTTGTTCAGCGCATCATGTGACCTGTCTGGGGAGTCCCACGTGGTGAATTGCATTCTTTCTCCATTGGGTACCAGCACTACAGGAATCCAATGTCCATCAATCATGCAAGCAGAGACAATCATCAAACCTTCCTGTCGGATTTCAGGGTGTGAAAAACCCCATTCTTGGCAAAGATGCGTTCCATGAGTGGCCCATCCGGTCAATAGCAGTGGGTCCAGCATAAAACATTTACAAAAATTGAAATCCGGAGAAGCACCCATTCTTTCATTCCTCAATCGCAAGAGCATCGCAATGTGAAATCTGATTTCATCATCAGCCCAAATACTCTTTTGATTTTTGAGGATGACACTTCTGTCTTCAGACTTCAGTAGCTGATGACGCAGGGCCCACAAATGCTTGGTTGACATGACCACTGGAACTTGCAAAGACTTGAATTGGTCCTGTTCAAGGTTCATCAAAGGAGCCGCTGAAATCCACGACTCACAATCAGCCATTCGTTGGATTGGCATGGGCGATTCACCAACATCACATGGACCAAATGTCCCACATTGAGATGGTTCCATTTCATGTGCAGGGATCGTCCAGGGCACAGTCTGGCTGATCAAAACATCAGCAGGCCGAGACTCAGGTTGGGAATGCACAGGCAAAAACTTGTCCTGAACCTTCAGCTCAGAAGAGGCACCATCACTTTCTTTGGATCCCGCAGCTGGTTCACTGACATCAGAACCTTCCTCACAGTGAATGCAAATGACCTGGCCAAGTTGCAAAACATGGGAGAGCGGTACAGTGGTGCCAAAACGATCACAGGCATAGGTAGCTCGGAGACCCCCTACCAACTGGCTATGAGCATGAACAAGGTGTTGGATGGTACATCCTTCTGTCACACAAATTTTGATTGGGTTGGCAAACTCATGGTAAAAGATAACCAAACATTCATTCGGAGAACCGACAGGGAGATCCCCAACTTCACAATGAATCGTTTCATGCCATGGTGTAGGCTCATCTTCACATGTCTCATCATCCAGAAAGGTCATGGGCACATCAATTGGGTCAGCGTCAACATGGAGCGGAGGTCCATGCTCACCCTGAGCTTTGCAAATCAGAAAATCAAGCACCGATCCAATGTTCAACTCATGAAGCGGGATGGTTGGCCAGCGATTCGGATGCATTAATTCATGCAAAGACAACTGAGACACTTCACTCCAAAACTGAACAAGAGAGAGAACCTTTGAGTCATGGATGGTCTCAACCTTGGCAGGCCAAACCTGTCTTCCACGCATGAGAAGCCAAGTAATGTAAGCCTGGACACGTGCTTCAGCATTGAATTTGGGCCTCAGTACCCGGACCTTTTGGATTTGATCATCCACTGCAGCAAAAATCCATGCGGCTTGCAATGGGCTAGCCATCTGGCCAGCAGCAGCAAGGGTCAACCTAGGATTACATCCAAAGTCAATCAATGGGTCGAATGCACAAAGCATCAAGACTTCATTCGGATGCAGGTGGCGGAGGCAACTATCATGGAACTCAGTCTGGCATGAGCGGACAATGCATCCAAAAAGGCCTTTGTCTCGGAGTCTGGATTCAGACAACCCTCGGACCCTACATCCACATTCACATCCAACAACTTGCGATCCCCATGAATGAAGCGCACAGGGCGCACAGGTCTCAAAATTCAAAAGGTATCTCTGGAAGGAATTGTCATGAGCCCCAAAGAAGTCAAGTTCACGTTCATTCAAAGAAAGCGCCTTTTCATCATTCACATCCCATGGGAGAACATCAAAGATGATTTGACGTACTTTGGAAATGGAGGTCATCCTCGGCCACGAAACCAATGGTACCTTACCAATCATGGGGGAAGTGATTACCCACCAAGCCCTTGAACGCCTACATGGCCATAGGTCTTGCAAATGAAGGTCACATTGGGAGCAATGATAGCCACTGAGCTCCAGGAAACGGCCAATCTCAGCTTCAACAAACGAGTTCCCCACCGCTGGTTGAACACATTCCAAGATCACCACCTGTGCACGCATGTAAAAAGCAGTTGCAAGGATTCCAGTCAGGCATTGGGCCCTGGCATCACATCCACCTAACTGGTCGCCGAGGCGAGAAAATGGTTGACAAGCAAATCCGGCAGCAACAACTCCCGCTCCTTTGGCCCGTTCCCACACTTTGGCAAGAGTGCTAAGTTTACAAACATCCCCACCAATGAGTTCCGTTTGGTTCTGCACATCATACAGTTTGAGAATGCGCTCGTTCTGGTCAACTGCAGCAACTGGGTGAAAACCTGAGGTGGCCATACCCTGACAGATTCCACCGAAGCCTGCACATAGTTCCACAACTTCATACAACGAAGACCATGTTGGGGGAGCATGTTTGAAAAGGATCGACCCTTCATCCAGAGCAACAAGAGGAACCGGAAATTGTCTGACAAACTTCACATTCATCAGGGAAAAGGTGTCACCAGATCCATCCAACAATCCACACACCTGAAACAGCGTACCATCATGAGAAGCCTTAAACAGATGAGCATCATGGGTATGGTCAAAGCAAACCAAAGAAGCCACCATGCTAATCCTCGCACCAGTATCACATGACCCAAAGTTGACAGGAAATTCCACGTCCATGGCACCTACAAGACACAACGGCCCCCGTTCGGAAAGTGCAGCTGCACCAGCTGGCAGGCGGCTTGGGCATTCGCAGCTTCCAAACCACCAACCAGTCAACTATTCAACCGTAAAATTTGATCCAGTTTTGTGGCTGTGTTTTTTTTCTCCCAGGCCAAAATGACTATGAAACTGGTGGTCAATCACGGTTAAATCCCCATGTGGCAATCCGCCATGCTAAGGCTCCCATCCGACTGCAAGTCTGGAAGTTGGCGGCATATTGCCTCGAAGGTAGACATCCTTAGCCCGTGGATCCCGTGGCCTGGCAGCCCCAATTCCCAACTAGACAACGGGGATTTGCTCAAGGGAGTTTACCAAGTTTTTTTTCCACTTTTCGTTGGGTTGTTTCAAGGGGAGACTGCAGGAAAGGATGCTTTTCTCACTTAGGTTTTCCTGCATTTTTCCTTCCTTCATTCCAACTTGATGTGTTTGATCTTCGCCTATGGTATTTGCCCAAAATCTGATTAAGGCATATGTGTACGTGTATTAAATATACATATTATATATATATATATATAAATGTTTATGTAAACAGTATCCCCATGTGAAATCTCATTTCAAGAATGGCTCTTTTTGTACGCGCAGGCTTCTAAGTCTCCGGCAAACTTGTCGTGTGGTCTTGGCAAGGCCAGCGCCACGTCCTACGGCTCGGTCTGTTCTGTTTCTGATATTCTTATAATTATATATATCCCATAGGATCCATGTATGGTATATATGCTAACATTGGGGGTATATTGATGGTAAATGTTACCATATATAGCATACATGGATCCTATGGGTATATAATTATACGCGTGCGTGTGTGTGTGTGTATTTTTGTGTATGTGTATATATATATATATGTGTGTGTGGCTGGTCGATTAAACCAAAAACGGTTGAGATTGATTATTGATATATTGATATAATAAGACGTGTAAATAATTGCATAACTATGTCTAGACACAAATCTTCTACATACTGATCTTATTAATGAAAGATTGTTTTTAGGTGTGTTTAACGATGCCTTTAGTTGGTGGTCCCACTCATTCATCTCATTTCATCTCGTTATATATATGGTCATGAAACGCTAACATATACCGTTGGGGTGACACATGCTGATACGATACTGACATACCCACTGTTGCTGGGGTCCCAATTCAAGTAGTGAAAATGTGGGTCTTGGGTATGTTGTGGGTCAAACCCTTGGTGCCCTGCTGGGCCCTGCTGTAAAAATAAACCAACAAAATAGCTGGTGACTTAGCTGGTGCTTCTGGATCTTCATCCCATGATTGGTCTTGACCTATATACATTTGCTCTCCCGCTTGGAGGATCATCCCAACTTAGTAAGTGGCTAGCAACTGGGGTAGGTAATAGCCATTGATCAATGCGATCATCCACGAAATGGGGACTGCCCGGCCTCCCAAGCAACGGTTGCCACAACTCTGCCGTTCACATTCAGCAGGGCGCGGGGCACCACCACATCTCCCGGCATCAAATTCTCCAGAGACGCCGCGTCTAGCCTCAAAGCCGGTCTCAACATCTACAGCCACTGCTTCGTCCCAGTAAGTGGGTTAAAACATGTTATAACTAACCGTCCTCAGTTCACAGTAAATGTAAGTAGATGCAAGTAGATGCAAGTAGATGTAGGTCGATGGATATAAGTAGGATTAGTATGGATTAGTTCAGTTCAGAGTTTATACCCCACTAACTGGGGTGAGCCACCAAGCATTCACTTAGGTGCCATGGTTTGGATTCCTATAGTCAAGTTATGTCGAGTTGCTAGCTTAAATCATCTCAAATGCAAAGCCATTAAGAAACTCAGCCTAGCAACAAAACGAGGTTGTCACCCATATGTTGTTTGCAAGAGATGTGAACACTCGGCACTCTCTCACCATCCTCCCTGTTGAAATTCACGCGGCCAGACATAAAACATCGGCTTTTGAGCCCTGGAAAACGCTCCTCTTGTCGCTCTTGAAGCCAATCTGTGATTCTCAATGCCAAATAGGGCACCACTGACTTTGGCACTTCCAATGTTTTCTCCACTGGCACCGGAAAGCAACCTGGAAGGCCTCGGCTTAATCCACGCCGCAAGACATCAGAAACATGCTGCGGGTGTGGTTGTGGCGGCGGGTTCCAGTACATCATGCCCTCATCAGAGTGCCACCACTGAAGTGTCTGGGCCCAATCCTGTCCCCCCGAGGGACTGCTTCCGCGAGTGCGCCGGGTCCACAACTGACGACTGACCATTTCGGAGAAAGCGCCTGCACCCATGGCATCACGCAAAGCTTCAATGCGCTGAGTTCGTTTTCCTCAGCTGAACATGAAACCGCTTGCAAGAAGCAATCCTCCCATGCTCCTTTCACATCCTTTCACAAAGCGATCGCAAAGCGTTCACAAAGCGTTCAAACAACATGAACAGAATCGAAACAGTCTATGGCTGCAGCAAGATGGTGTCATAATGATGGATTGCAATTGCACAACGGTACTAAAATAAGGACCACAGATTTGGTGGTTCTGACTATGCAGGGGTTCAATTTCAAGCGAATAACACAGCATGGCAACCCCAAAAAGCTAGAAAAGTAAAAGCACACTGAAATGATGAATCCCTTACCCTGAATATATATATATATATATATGTATATGTATATATTATATAAATCATATAATATGTGTATATGTATATTATATATTATTTTAATTATGTTATATAGTATATATTATAATATATATATATTATACCGTACCCTCCTGGAAACTATGGTTTGGTATTGGATCTATTTATATTGGGGGCCCAGTCACAAAGGGTATTCAATATTAGAGGGATGGAATTATCTCTTCTCCCATTTGTTATCCCATTTGTTAGATTGCCGAACAACAATTTATTCGTTACAGATTAACAGTCTGTAACCATTATCAAGCATTATTGACCAATAGGAACCATTATCGACCATGATTAACTTGTTTTATGGTTACTAAGATAAGCCTGGTAAATAATGGCTTAAGCCTGGTAAATATTGGAACCATTATAGGAACCATTAGTATTATATACAGTAACTCCTAAGCCTGTCCCAAGATAGGCAATTACACCGCGGCTATTATCACCGGCCGAGACTCGAGAGGCGGCAACATGCCTGCAGCGAGCCGCCCCGTGAAAGTATGGAAAAGTGTGTCAAATAATATGGGTAATCGCTAAGTTGTTGGTGATAATCCTCCATTTTCTGGTTTAAGTTTAATTATGTTTAATTTGTATTGTTTCTGATTTTATTGAAGGATTTTTTTTGTGCCAGGGCTTCTCAGAAGGTTTGCCCCGGCAGCCGGCCAAGCACCCTGGGCAAAGCTGCATTTTTGGAGGATGGAAATGGAGAAAGTGACTGGAAGCTGTCAACTTTTGACTTCCAATTTCAACATCTTGGTTTCCAAGCGTTTCTCCAAAATTAGAACTCATAATGTCAACAAGATGCATGTCTCGCTTGGCTCTTTGGATCACTGCCCTTGCAAAGCTTCTCCGCTCCAAGCGTGATCGACATGCATCCGAGTGCCTTGCAACCACAAGCCTTAGCAGCTGGCAAAGCCTGGCCGAGGCCAAAGCCGCACCAAAAAGATCGTGCTGATGGTCAGTGCTATATGAAGGTTTCCTAAAATGGGGGTACCATGGGCTACCCCTAAATCCTCTATTTTAATAGGATTGTCCATTATAAACCATCCATTTTGGGAACCCCCATTTATGGAAGCCCCCATATAAATATAGTCAATAATCTGTATACATATTGTATGTTGATGTATGTTGTGTTTATGAGCTATAAGATGTCAAGAGCAATTACTCCGCTTCTCAATCTTTGATGCCTTCAAAACCACGAAAAGGAGATCTGTTTTGCTTGATGGCTCGCAAAGATTCCAAGACACCTGGTGATGTCCCCATGGCTGTATCGCGCGGGGTCAAAATCAAGTGCTGTACGTGCGAGAACGTTCATCAGAAGTTTGCGTTTCCTTAGCTGTGAACTCAAATTCCAAGCCCTTGCGGGTGTGCAAAACTCATAACCAGCGTTGCTGGTGCATGTTGCTACTGATCATAACAGTTTCATTTCATGCAACCTTTAGAAGCTGAAAGAAACTATACAGTATAATATGCAAACATCATACATCTATCTACATTGAATCTACATAATACATTGCAATACAATGCAATACACACACGTATATATATATATACATATACATATCATGTACAGATTTTGTGTTTCAGGTAGACACTGTGATTTCAAATCTTGCAGTAAAGCGTGCTTCTGAATTTTTGATTAGGGTCGACACCGAACAATCGGGCATGCAAAGGGTGTCACCGGGCACGGTCTTGTCGCAAATGCTGCATGGGCATTTCAAGACCAGCGCTTCACAGCGTCGCAGGCCTAACCAAGGCCAGAAGATGGATCCTGAAAAACTACAATGAATGGTGGCTGTGGTGTTTTCAATCTGCGCGCCCCGGGATCATGACATTGTGCCGGCCTTCATCTAAGAACTCAATGTCAAAGTCACACTTCTTTCTGCTCACCGCAGTGTCTCGCAGCTTCCTTTGCTGTCGGGAAATTGGATCCCTTCCATTTGAAACAGCCCCAAACAATCTTTAAATTTGCCACTCCTTCTCAAGCCCGTGGCCATGTACGGGGAATGGACAGTGGACTATATTCAGGTGTCATAAAGATTGTTATATAAGTTTGGAACAGTTTGAGCATAAGCTGCACATGATTGTCAGATCCAGGCCCATAAAATATCGTTGTCTGACGTCTGAAGATAGGAATCCTTAAATCCACAATTTAATCATCATGTTCCCTTCATAAATTTACAATTTTTGGTGTTTGTTCTCAGAGAAACGCCTCTCTGCTTCCAAGAAACTGCGGTAAAAGTACCAACAATCGGGTGGCAATGCCATTTTCCAGTGCATGGTTGATTTCTTCCGTCACGCACCGCAGGAACTCTTGGCGATTCATGGTGGCTGTTTTCTTCAACGAGCCGAAGCGCAACGGTTGGATCGATGTGCAACTGTGTATCAGGGACACACATTAGTGCCGCTGGAACATAAATAAGATGGATGGTCTATAAAATTACGGTGCATATAGAATCATATAGATATGTATATATATATATATATGTATATTTAGATGTTTTGATGCTATGATATGATGCAGTGTGTGTGTGTGTGCGATTGAGCTAGTCATCCCAATGAATTGTGATGCAGGGCGCCTGTTCGTTGGCATGGCTCCATTCATCGCCCATGCCCCGATTTCTCCAACCACCGGGACCGGCAGGTCGGCCTGCAGCTGCTTGCTGAAAAACCCTTGGGACGACCACGGTGGATGGACCAGCGAAATCCTGCACCAGTTGAAAACGGTGTATTTTATCCCATTATTTATAGGGTTTCAACCATCCAAGGTGGTGCAGGATTTCTTCCGCCCACCGTATTATGCTGATTATTACCACTCACACTTGGGGTTCTGTCATGTTCTGTCATGTTCTATCTTCCTATATAGGTTAAGTATAGTATAATTTATAAATGCCACTGGGGACCATGTATTTGCTTCAACTGGAAACTGCATGGATTTGGCCACAGCAGTATATCGAACCTGGAACATAAAACATATTCCAACCAATCAGCTCCATTGCTGATGGAATGACATCATATCAGCCAAGCCAAAACGGTTGATGGCTGGGCAAATGGGCAAATAGCATGGCAAAAGGCAAGGGTAGCACTGGGTTAGAAGCCCCTTGAATTGGGTAGCCATAACATGGGTTTTTCACTGTTTGTCTACAATTTGTGGGGAAAAAGACTTAATCTAACGTCAACCCTGGATTAATAAACCCCGAACGGCCGTTTAATTGGAAAGGTACCATTTAAGTATCAGAGTATGACTATTGGAGGAGTATACCCCCTTAGTTCATAAACCATGGTTTATTAATCCGGGGTTGACATTAATGGTTTAGAAATGTTTAGAACCTCACTTTCCCCGTTCCAATTGCCACAAAGTGGGCGACTGCCCATGTGTTTGAACAAGCTCCACGACCGCCCATGGCCAGGGGCCACTCCAGCACTCGCCTGGTGATGACTTTCCCGGGAGATCTCCCGACGTCCATGGCTCAGGATCTTGTTTCCGGGTGTGGAAAGGAGCCACGAGCAGATCAGTCAGAACCTGACACCTTCCAAGAAGATCAAGAAGTGAAGGGACAAATAGCAGGACCAATCTATAACTCAGATGGAAAGCATCACAATTTCCGCTCGAGTTTCCCTTCAACGCAGCGAATCTTGCAGCAATGGCAGAATGGATAGTGAATGATCGAAGGTCTCATGGCGTATTTTTTTCCGGTCGAGACTCGGCCAACTCAAAGACTTGGCGCAACCGAATGGTCCCCTGGGGCCCTGGGTCTTAGTCTCTGGCTTTGAGCGTTTCATCTAACTTTCGAATGATACCAAATCGCCTCGGTGTGCGCTTTAAATATGGCCGCGCGCTTCGGTGTTTCTCGCTTTTCTGGTCCAAAACCAAACCATCTGAGGTCACTGCTGGACGCTGAGCGTTTCCTCTAAGTCTTGCAGCCTAGGGCAGCGGTGCATGATTTGACGACTTGGTCACAGTTTGTTGAGGGATGCCAAGCCGTCGAATCACTTTGCACGGCTTGGTGTATGCTGCCATATGTTGTCATGCTCCTTGATCCGCCGCAAGAAGTGAACGTTTAGCTGGGCAGAACTGGATGTTGGATGATATTACCCAAGCTGCAGGCTTGCCATATTTTGGTTTGTTGGTGGCATGAACATCCATTTCCAACTATTTCAAATATATAATGTTTAATGCTCACGAGGTAGCAGGGTTCAACCATGTTCAACCCCATGGCCACAATGACAGCCCCAAAGTTCATTCACTTCGTTCAGTTCGTTCATGCGACCAACTGCACTCAGAGTCTGTGACTTCTCGAGGAATTGCTTCACATCCTTGGGCCTTTTTTGCGCCAGAATGTACCTGGCAACTGCAGGAACTGGGCGATATATCTTATCATCCTACCCAAAATACTACCAGGAGTAGCAGTGCTTATACTACCATATAAGCCAGTATAGATGCACATCCACATAATTCCACATATCTCCATTTCACAAAGGTGTGACTTGACCCATTTATAAACTTTAAATACTTCAGGAATGGTTGATTGATTAGTACATATTCCTAGAAAATGGGTTGGTTCATAATCCCAATAAACAAGCTTGTATAACCATAATATAGCCTAACTATAATTCCCAATAAACCAGTGATAGTTTCATGATAGCATATCCCATACGATAACTTAGTAACAGGAATACTCTGGTAATCCCAATAACTATCCCATATATATATATATAGTTCATTCCCAATAAACCAATTACCCTCTGGTAAACTAACAGTTTGCTATTGAAAATGGCCATAGTTAAATAGTGGATTTACCCATTTAAAAATAGTGTTTTTCCATATCTAATAGTGATTTATAGTTAGTTTACCAGAGGGTAGATCCAGTTAATTCCCTGAATCTCTGAACCCATCGTAAGGTACGAAAAAAAAACGCACGCACGGCGCACACGGCCACGTCACTGAGCTTATGCAAGCCGTGCGTGCGCGCTGCCGGCCTGAGATGTTGGTATTTTTCATGGGGGAAAATCGGCGGGGGGATCCACAATCAATGGAGGAATTATCCCATTCAAATCCATTATTTAGTCACTCATGTGGGTAAAATTGGGTAAAACAATACCATAAACTAGCCATGACTGGGAATGGTAAACATACCTATAGCGGAAAATCCTCTATACGTAAACATACGTTCATGGATATATATAAATGGTGGATTTACAGCCTTAGTTCAACAGGGCAAGGCACAGGCCTTTTTGGTCTCGAATTGAAATGCCTCACGAGTGATAAGATCAGATACTACACTTGCCAAGCACATGGCAAATCGCGTCAACCTGCAATCACATTCAGACTCCCCCTTTTTCTCAGGGAGTACTGAGAAAAATATCAAAATATGATGCCAAAAGAAAATAGGCTGAATTGACCCAAGGCATTCGGATTGATCTTCACGAATTTATCCCTAAGCTACTTTGGCTTTTGCCCTGTGGCTCTATACTTCCAGTATTCAGCTCTGAACTTGTCAGAGCCCCAGCTACGCCCGCTGTGTTCATGTTGGAATTCGTTCCACCGGTTAGTGGAACCTTCACTACGCCGCTCATCTCCCACAGACGCCACCACAGCACCACCAGAGCCCGATGGCATTGCACTCTGATTTGAAGTAGATGCTATGCCAGAGCCCGAACGTGATGCGCTCTGATTTGATGAAGATGCAAAGCCAGAGCCCGAACGTGATGCGCTCTGATTTGATGAAGCTGCAACTCCAGAGCCCGAACGTAATGCGCTCTGATTTGATGAAGCTGCAACTCCAGAGCCCGAACGTAATGCGCTCTGATTTGATGAAGCTGCAACTCCAGAGCCCGAACGTAATGCGCTCTGATTTGATGAAGCTGCAACATAGCTCGGTTCTCCGTAGCCAAATTCCATCGACCCAGGAGCAAAAGATGCTGCAGCACCGCCAGAGCCCGATCGTGATGACCTCCGCCGTGAAAATGGTCCTCCACCAATGTTTCCCAGGTGATTCATCAAATCACGATGTGCCCTTTCTACTGCCGCTTCTTCAGCCTCTGGATCCCGTTGTTTCTTCTCCGCCTTCTTTTTGCGTCGTCTCGGCAATTGAGACGTGTCCTCATACATCTCGGGAGTTCTGCCATGCATTTTGTTGTGGGGATCTTCTTGGATACGCCGACTTTGCGCCACCATGGCCCGAAGTTCATCGACATCAGCCTGTTGCGCATAGGCGGCCCTCTGTGCATTCATTTCTGCCCTTCGCTCTCTCTCATCCTCACTGCTACTGCTCCACTGCAACATACTGATGCTAGGTGACGGTGGCCGTCCTTTGGACATCACATCAACTTGGCTGCCCGATGCCCCTATCAGTCTTCTATAGAGCCACATGCCACTTCGGACCATCTTGTCGCTCACATAGACTGCTCCCACGCACATCAGGATTAAGCCAACGACCCAAAGCCAGGACAACTGGTCATCACCCTCCTCATCACTTGTTGCAGCAGCGCCAGACAACAGCGTTGCTCCCAACAACATCGCTATTTTTGCATTCATTTGATCATGTCGCATGCCCGCTCCATCGCCATGCGCCTTGAGCTCATCAGAGGCTATGCAAAGATCTTGCAGCGCCTTCTCAAACGCAGGGCCAGTGACAATCTTGGTGAAGGAGTCCGCCACCAGCTCACGACCCAGGAGATGTCCCAAGTCCCACTCATTGTGGCGCAGCGCAGATCTCAAAATCGCCGCTCTGATGCGCAAATGCCTCGTTCTCCAACTCCCTTGGCCTTCACCTGTGGCTAAGCTAATGGCCGCAGCATTGTCTCCCCAAAGTCGCTTGACCAACTTCTCAGGAGGTTCATCTCGAATGGCTGCGATCAAAGCTGCTGTAGCTCTGCCACCAACCAGTGCCTCACAAAGGCTGACCAGCTCACTTTCGGCAGTTGATTGAGTTGGAAATGGTTGCCTGCTAGTGTTCCACATCACCGGTGCACCAGCATAGTAGTAGACTTGGCCTTGAAGAGATTTGTACCCCTTCGTTGACGCGTAGGAGATGTCAGAAAAAGCCTCTACCGTACGCACACATCTTGGCTTGCTCAGTTGACCACGTGCTCCATGAACTGGACCTGGTTGGTCAGCATAGATCATTCCATGTGATGGTCGCTTCAAGTAGCTCATCATCTTCAAGCCCAGATTGATGGTAATCTCTGGAGCCTTCGTGCAGAGTCTTGACATAGCAGCGACACCCACAGACAGCTCCGGTCTGGTTCGAGTCGCAAGCCAAAGCAAGGCAGTGCAAGCTTGCGCACGGCGCACCAAGTCCAAGTTTTCAGACTTGACAAATTCTGCTTCTTCTTCAGGTAGAGGAAGTTTGAAGTCCACCTGTGATGAGCTTTGATGAACCTCCCATTTCTTGATGAGCTCCTCCTCATAGCTATGCTGATGAAGTCTAAAACCTCCGCCACGCTCAGAGCTGTTCTGTTGGATTTCAAAGCCGCAAAAAGATACCGGCTTTTCCAGAGTCGCCCTTTCTGGTTCAGCACACTCCCAAACTTCAGCTATTGCTTTGAGAGCGCAAGTTGCGACAGGATCTCCTGCAGCAAGGAGAACAT